TAAAGTATACCAAATGTATTAAAGTATACCAAATGTATAAAAGTATACCAAATGTATTAAAGTATACCAAATGTATTAAAGTATACCAAATGTATTAAAGTATACCAAATGCATTTTATAAAACAAGAAGTCTATTAATTATACTGGATAATTGATGCAGAAATGAAAGATTATAAGTCAGTTTTGCAGACATGAGGAAATTCGTCTTCGTCGTTATTACCCAATCCACCGGCAAAATATTCTCTACAAGAATATTTACGGATGGGGAAGAACCAATAAGCAAGGGCCCAAACAAAATAGATGGCGATAACCACCGAGACATAATTCATGTTACCTCTAGTGACGGGCATGGTAGTTGGGAAAGAATAGAAAACCAAAGCAAATAAAGACCAAGCAATGGTGATGTAATTACAAAGAGTACCCCAAAAACCTAACCAAAAAGGACCATGGTGGATATTTTCACGACCACGATATAAAAGACAAATAGTTGGAACACAGTAACTTAATAATAAAAAGGTAATGCAACCAACAACCATTGAATTGAAAGCGGTATCACTAACCAAGTATAAGCAACCCAATACTGCCACCCAAAATGAAGAAAATAAATGGGCATTAAGAGGAACCCCTAAATTTGGATCAATAATTGATAAATATTTTGAAAATGGTAAACCGTTATCTCTACTGAAAGACCAACATAATCTAGCTTGCCAAGTATGACTTGAAATGGTAACTCCGCAAGCGGTGATGAAAATTAATACTCCAAGACAAATGGCACCAGCTTTATTACCCAACGCCTGATAATAAATATCTAAGATGGGCATTCCGGTATTTGAGTTAATAATATCTTGTAAATTATGAAGACTGAAAAACATGGCAATTGAATATGAAAATGCAGTAACCATACCAATGGTGACCGTCCCTAAAATTGCAATTGGAATAACGGTTTCTGGACTATGGACTTCTTCAGCTAAATGAGACGCAGAATCAAGACAACTAAAACTCCAATTTGGATTAACCAAACCAATAATAAATGCAATTCCCGAATTCGACCATCCGGTATTATTATCAAACTCTGCAAAAACAAATTTTGCATCTCGATAATTACCTCTTGAGCAAACTAATACAGTTATAGTAATAACAACATATGAAAATAATGAAAAATATAATACTCCATTAGCAATCATGGGCAATGCCTTACCATAACAATTAAATAATATAAGTAAAATATTAACAATTTGGAAAATTACAAACAATTGCCATTTTTCAGTTACATGATCTGGATGAGTTAAATTATAAAATCCCATAACGGCTTGAGCAACACTTAAGGCCATGGACGCACTAGTGAAAATGGCCCCGGCCCACGCTAATGATCCACATAAATACGCTAAAAAACTAGAATACTTCTTGGGTGAAAGAACCCTGGTCCAAACGTACTGTCCTCCTGCTGATGGTATAGCACTAGACATCTCACTAAGAGTTATCCCAATACAATACGAAACCGCAGCAATAATCAAAATCCCATAAACAACAATAACAGCTCCTCCTGACGAAATAGATGTAATCAAACTCGCCAGAATACCAAACCATGAGTTGGTTAACCCAAATCCAATCCCCAACACTGACCACACGGAAAATGATCTCTTCAACTCTCCCTTCTGGCTACTGATGCTAAAGTTCTCAAGGTCCTCCTTGGGACTTGGTGTCAACACCAAGTTACTCTTATTGGAATCCTTTTCAAAATCCATTTTCCCTACAACAATAACTACCCAAATCTAAAAATTTTTCAGTTAAAAGATCTTTTTATTATCGTTTGTTGCGAGATTTTCTTTTTTTTGGCCCTTTTTTTTTTGTTTTGTTAGCGAAAGCCCTTTTTCACATGCGTCTCAAACAGCAATCGTTGGTGCATGGGTGTTTTCGTGGTGTACGGGTGTTTTCCTTCTTACTCCTCCCAAAGCAAATTTAGACGCCCTTTGGCTTTACGATACTACAACTTCTGGATCGGTATACCAATTGCATCAGGAAGACGGTATTGGACTAGATTGAATAGCACAGCGGAAAGGATGCAGTACGTTGGGAAAGTTGGTGGGTACGTTTATAACCAATGGAATTCATTGAATCCCGCTACGTTATCAGGAGCCATTGATATAATAGTGGTTGAACAACCGGATGGATCACTTCATTGTTCGCCGTGGCATGTTAGGTTTGGGAAGTTTCAGATCATCAAGCCGCTGCAGAAGAAGATTGACTTGTATGTTAATGATATTAAGACTAATTTGCCAATGAAGTTGGGAGACGGGGGTGAAGCGTTTTTTGTATTTGAAACCACCAATTCCAATGATGATATATCGAAATCGGTTTTGACATCACCAGTGATAAGTGCCTCTTCATCGCCGTTGAATAGTCCTTCTAATTCTCCTCCCAATTCAACTCCTCAATCCACATTAGATTTATCTAATGAACCAGAATTACTTGATTTAAATAACGAGGGTATAGACCCCCATGATCAAGATATAGAAAGCAAAATCAAATTGAGCGAAGAAATACCAAGCTCCCCGGTTTCAAGACCGCAATCAGCATCATCATTATCTAAATCACCCACGCCAACATATCAGCTGAAAATTGCATTTGAAAAGGCCCGTAAAATTACTCAAAAGTTGAATATTCCTTCTAAAATTGATATTAATGGTGATATGGTTTTAGATATGGATGGTTATAAACCAAATAGTCAAAAAAATATTGAAAGCACCGACGAATTATTTAAAAAAATCTTTATGAAAGAAATTGATAAATTAACTGATGATAATAATGATGAAAAAACTTTTAATCTTTGGGATGAAATCATTTGTAAAGATAAAGATGGTAATATCCGAATTTTAAATAATCAAAGTCCAGAGATAAATGAATTACAAGATGATTTAAACAATTCTAATTTAAATTTAAATGATTTATCAATCGATGAATCAACAAATTCATTAAATGATCTTAAGTTTAATGATAAAACATATTTTAAAACTCTTCGTCTTACTTCAGAACAATTACAAAAAATGAATTTACACTATGGAGAAAATAAATTAAAATTTAAATTAAATCAAGGTACTTCTCAAATTATATCAAACTTATACTTATGGAAACTGACTACTCCAATAGTTATATCAGATATTGATGGTACCATTACAAAATCAGATGCTTTAGGCCATGTATTAAATTTATTTGGTAGAGATTGGACTCATCCAGGTGTTGCTAATTTATTTCAAGATATTAAAGCAAATGGTTATAATATTATTTACCTTACTGCTAGATCAGTTGGACAAGCTGATACAACAAGACAATATTTAGAAAGTATCAATCAAGACGGTATGAAATTACCAAAAGGTCCAGTAATTTTAAGTCCTGATCGAACAATGGCTGCATTGAAAAGAGAAGTAATTTTGAAAAAACCAGAAGTTTTCAAAATGGCATGTTTAAGTGATATTAAAAGTTTATATTTTTCGAGCTTTAATCAAAAAAATCATTCAAATGATTTAGAATCAATAAATCCAAATGAAGATGAAGAAATAAATGAACATAATAAACCAATTACCAGTGATTATATGGAACGTCAATTAACAAGTCAATTGATGGAACAAGAAAATACTTTAAATAATGACGATGATGAAAGAACCCCATTTTATGCCGGTTTTGGGAATCGTATTACTGATGCAATAAGTTATAGAAGTGTTAAAGTACCTCTGCATAGAATCTTCACCATTAATCCAAATGGTGAAGTTCATATGGAATTATTAGAATTGGCTGGTTATAAATCATCTTATTTACATATTGGAGAATTAGTTGATCATTTTTTCCCTCCTTTAAAACAAGTTAGTGATTTCAATAGTTATTGGAATAATAATCAATTTAATCAATATATTAATCAAAAAAATGAAAATGTTTCAACCGATGAAGAAATATTGAGATCTCCTGGAAGTCCAAGGTCTCCTGGAAGTCCAAGATCTCCCGAGATTAATTCCATCTATAATTTACATACTGATGAAAAATTTAGTGATGTTAATTATTGGAGAGAACCATTGAATAATTTAAGTGATTTGAGCGACTTAGAAGATGATGAAGATGAACCAGAAAGTTTAAAATCTCAACCTTCATCTCCTCAAAAATCACCACCTTCATCTCCAAGATCAGCTGTTGCATCCTATTTCACCTCAAGTAGTGAAGATTTTGGGGGTAAATTAAGTAAAGCAGCTCATAAAAAGGAAAAACAAGAAAAAAATGAATCTAAAATGAATCAAAATGAATTTTCTCATGGTGAATCCCTGGCTAATGAAAATGTTAATCAAGCTAAAAATGAAAGACCAACCTCAATGTCGTCCTTCACTTCTCCTTTGAAAAATTTCATGATGTTTGGTAATGATAACCAAGATGATGATGATAATGTCGACGCCGATGCCAATGATCATAGCGATTACACTGACGACGACGATTATACCGACGATAACGACGAGGACTACGAGGATGACTACGAGGATGACTACACGGATGATGACTACGACGACGATGACGATGACGAAGTGGACGATGAAGACATTGACGGTGATGATGGCTTACCAGAAAATATGAAAAGCCTTGATATTCAACTGTCAACATCCGGTGAACCTCCGCAAATAGTCAAGGCCAGTGATTTATTAAATAAATAGAACCATACGCCAAATATATTTATAACTCACCTTTGAATTTTAAACACCGAACAGGCTTATTTAAAATAAGAGAAAAAAAACTAATTGCCTGCCCCTTCCAGTAGACAAAACCGTTTCAAATTGACAAAAAAAATATTTTGACATATCGTTATGCGAACTTTGACACATTTGAAATTGTTTGCCCTGTCAACTATTAGACCGTAGTCTCCTTGACAGATAAGTTTTAGTAGAGATACATCGCGTGCAGTGGGCGTTTTAGTGAGATTGAGATTATACGTCTCCTGTTGGAGAAGCAAGAATAGTAAAAAGGATTTCACCTATAAAGCACGTGGAGTAAAAACGGTAGAGCAAAGTCTGAAAGAGGAGCAGCACTATTACGGTAAATTAGCATGCCCATTTCAAGAACGATTGGAAAATAATACAATGTTGAAGAAAAACTAAAAAAAAAACTAAAAAATTCAACAACTTCAACAACTTCACGTAGGTAAATGGCATTTTAAAGAGTGCTAAAGATGTTTCGGGACTTGAAGAAGTCAGTGGTTGCACTTCTATTTTGTTGCTCGGTATGGCTTGTTATAAGCACTCATTTATATTTATCAAATAATACTCACGATATCTTTGAATTGGTTAGAGCTTCGTATATAGATAAGTTCTATACCAAGGCCCCATTTTTACATACGCATGTTTCCAATGAAGAGCATGATCCAAATTTAATTCATCATCATAAGCCAGACCCGGTAGTGAAACCAGCATCTTCAAAAGAACCAGACAAGGAGAAGGTTCAAGATTCTTGGGTCATAAATGTTGATAGGATATCCGAATATAATCATGAAGAATCGTGTGTGATATTCCCGTATCATTTCAATGATTTAAAAGAAAAGCAAACTTTAGCAGAATACTATCAAGAGAATTTCAATACCGCAATTGAAGCAAGTCATTTTGATAAAAATACTAAATTTCGAATAATACAATTGAATTCATTAACGGATGAACCCAAACAAGACTACGTGGATTCAAGTAAGTATCAAAAGGATGAGTTTAAGATATTTCAGCTGTCACCATTAATATATAACGATCAACAATGCGAATCACATTTACAACAGAAACTACAAGTTGAGATTTCACAATCAAAATCATTAACCTTTGATGATTGGTTACCCATTATTAATAGATTTAAAGAAGAAAACCCTCACTATTATGAAGAATTAGAACCGTTTTGGAAAGATGATATAGAAGAACAGATCAAATCAGGAGTACTCAATAAACATTGGCATAGATTAGCTGGATCTTCAGTATGGTTAACAGAATATGGAGTTCATTTTATGATTAGCAGGGTTTTATATACCCCTAGTGGGATTAGAGATAAACCAATCATATCATTAACGTATGCACAAGTTTTCAATGATAAATGGGAAGAAATGAAGAATGTTGAATTAATATCACCATCAAATAACCCGGACGTTGGGAATGAATTAGTTAAAGAAGAAAAAATATATTCATCAATGATTTATCCTACTTTCTTACCAATCCCATCGTATCATGATTATAATATTACCACCCCGAATAAGTATTACGGGCCAGAGGATCCAAGATTGTTACTTATTAAGAATCCAAAGGGATACGAAGAGCCGCTTATAATTTTCAATGCATACCAACGGAAAATCGTTGAAAGTGTTAATATTGATCATGATAAACATATGAATATAACTTTTGATTATTATAGGAGTATTTTCATGTGCTGGCCGTGGCAATTCCAAAGAGGAAAAGAAATTGTTGATGATTTAAATATTAATCAAAATTATAAATATCAAATTTATAATCGAATTGCAGAATTAGTAAGAGATAATATTCCAAAAGTTAAAAATCAAAAAAATTGGACTCCAATGATAAGTTATGAAGATCGTAAAGTATCGAATTATGATGAATCAATTTATTTTATTTATAGATGGAGTAATTTAGAAGTTTTCAAATGTCAATTATCCAATATCATAAATGGTTTATCAATTTGTAAATACGATTATAGATTAGAACCGAATAATAATGAAAATGATGGGGTTGGTCCTTTAAGAGGAGGAACACAAATGGTTAATATCAATCAATTGCTATACGAGTATTCCAATAAAATCACTGAATTATCGACTTTTATAAGTAAATTACCAACTGGTCGAGAATTATGGCTAGGTTTTGCTCGAGCCCATTTGAAAAACTGTGGTTGTGGGAAAAGTATTTACAGACCCAACTTGGTTCTAATAACCAAAGATTCAAATCCAAAGGGCGAAAAGTATTATAAAATCAGTCATATTAGTTCTTTCCTAGGTTTAAGTAACGTTCCTATACTTCCGTGGGATCCAGCCAATCCTAAGATGATTTGTGGAGAACAGTATCCAAATGCCTTGATTCCAAACGGTATAAGTGATTGGAATTTGAAAGAAGTCGCTATAAACGATGATATAAAAGGGATTCAGGATTATCTCACTCTATCCTTTAGTGTAAGTGACTCTACGGTTGATATCATTCATATCAAAGGCTTATTGAATGAAATCTTCAGACTAGACTACAACACTGACATCAAAACCAATCGGTTGATTGGAGACATTGATATCATCAAGGATGACGTTAGCCATAACTGGATGAAGAACAACGGATTCAACAATATCAACGTTGATTGTGCCATTCGTGAATCAAAGAACTTCTGCTACCACTACGGCCTCCAAAATGGCGAAAAGACAAAAGAAGAAAAAGAAAAAGAAAAAGCAAAGCAAAAAGAAGAGAAAGAAAAGCAAGAAAAAGAGAAGCAAGAAAAAGAAAAACAAAACCAAGAACAAAAACCAGACCCAAATGCTAAAGTCGAAGCCAAGGTCGAAGAAGACGCATCAGAAAGCAAATACTAGTGTGACCTGTGTAATCTGTGTACTTTTCTACTGTAATATACCCATTTATACTTTGTGTTTATACTTTGTGCTCTCCCCCAACAGCCGGCTCCTGCTGCAATGTTAGCAAGTCTCGCAGCACCAGAAGTAATAATCTGTTGATGTTCTGACGAGGCGTCCTTTCGCGTGGCACACGTGAACAGCAATAAGGAACGAGGCGGAGGCCCGTTTGAAGCACTAAAGTCTCTTATACTTGACGTATTGCGTGTGTAAAACAACATCAATCCCTTGCTGTGCCAGTGGCTGTAGATGGCTACTAAAGATAACATTTGACGGTTTAGCCCTTGTTTCCGTAGATTGGCGTCAACTTTCCAAAGCAGTTAAAAAAAGAACAGAAGGAAAAAAAAAAAAAAAAAAAAAAAAAAAAAAAAAAAAAAACATTTGACTAATTAAAAGATACTTACAATATTTAATTATACAGACTTTTCAATGGATTGAAGTAGCTGGAATNAATCCCTTGCTGTGCCAGTGGCTGTAGATGGCTACAACCAATAACACAATCTGAAAAATATGCTGAAAAGGATATGCTGAATTAAAAATCACTAACAATTAAAAAAAGAACAGAAGGAAAAAAAAAAAAAAAAAAAAAAAAAAAAAAAAGAGAAAAAAGGAAGAGCGGCTATTCAACTCAACTTCTTCCAGTCTTCAATTCTTCTTCTATCAAATCGATAGTTACCTGGCGGTATGATTCTTTTCAGGCGGTATAGGTTCTCCTTGCCATTGGCGGTGGGGCTTCTTGTGCTTGGGCTAATTGTTATTTCCCAATTTTCTGGTTATAATCAGCATGGGCTACTTGAAACGTTTAAATCGGCATATCATCAGGGGACTGGTTCATTTATGAGTCTTTCCAAGCATCAAATAACCAAGAATCAACTTATATTTCCATACAAGTTCCCGGTAAAGAAGGAGGGATTGAAGGAGTATATGCAAAAGAATCCCAAATCGTTTAATTCGACCGAATTGAAAAAACCTTCTATAGTGAAGGCCAAGTACGAAAATATTAATGAAAATGACGTTAAGAATAACCCTATAACTGATGAATTATTGAAATCGAATTTCAAAAGTCATAACATGAGTGTATTCCACTCTTCCAAAAACACTAATTTAGATTTGACAAAATGTAATAATATCGCTAAAACGTTTGATCAAACCCAGATCAATGACCCGGTTAATGTGCAAGTGTCTTTGAATGAGATGTTAACCAAGATACTAAACCAAGCGTCCACCGATCCGTATTTGAAAGAACTTTCTCCATTCTTTATCGATGAATTAGAACTTCAATTGAAATATAACGTGGTGGATCGTTTTTGGTATCGTCTTGCAGGTTCTTCTGTCTGGTTAGAACAATACCAGGTTCATTTTATGATTTCAAGAATCTTATATAGTCCAAAGGGAACTAGAAACAGTCCAATTTTATCATTTACCTATGCACAAATTTTCGATAAAAATTGGAAAGAATTAGTTAATTCAAAATTAGTAGTACCAACTAATAACGAGAAATCCATGAATGATGACGATAATGAAGATTCCAAGATTTTTTTCAAAACAATGAGTTTCCCTCAAGTTTTGAATATTCCTTTCTGGCATGATTATGATAATATTGAAGGAAAATATTATGGTCCTGAAGATCCAAGATTATTATTAACCAAAAATTCAAAAGGTTATGAAGAACCTCTTATAATTTTCAATGCTTATCATCGTAAATTATCTCATTTTGATGACGACGTTGATGACCATGTTTTAATGAAGACTGAATTTTTCAGATCAATGTTTATGTGTTGGCCATGGCAAACTCAATCAGGTAAAGAAAATACTGACGGAATTTCAAATGCTGAATACGATAATCGTATATACAATAAAGTCGTTGAATTGAAAATTAAAAATTTACCAAGACAAAAGAAGCAAAAAAATTGGACTCCATTCATTAGTATTGATCAAAGATCTAAAAATGGATTTGATAAAACAATTAACTTTATTTATAGATGGGCTAACTTAGAAATTTTAAAATGTGATTTGATTGGTGATACTGGATTATGTTCTTTCACTTATAGATTGGATAATAATTTAAGCCCTCAAGCTCAAATTGGTCCTTTAAGAGGTGGTACTCAATTAATGAATGTCAGATCTATTTTAAATTCAAGAAATGATATTGATCTTGATAAAATTATTCCTCCTAATAGAGAAGTCTGGATTGGCTTTGCAAGAGCTCATTTAGATGATTGTGGTTGTGGTAATAATATGTATAGACCTAACTTGGTCATTATCGTTAAAGATACCGTTGATGTTGAAATTAAAGAATTAACTGATAAACCTTTTAAACAATCAAAAGATTTTTATAAAATTAGTCATATAAGTTCTTCTATTTCATTTGACATTCCCATCATAGGGTGGGATTTAATGAATCCGAAGAAAATTTGCGTTGGTTCAAATGTCTTAATTCCAAATGGTATTTCAAGTTGGTCAATTGAATCTTTTGATCAAGAAAATTCCAAAGACAATTGGATTTTAAATGATTATATGACATTATCGTTATCAATTTCAGATTTCACCGTTCATAAAATTGATGTCAAAGGATTATTATCTCAAATTTTAAATGAAAAATCATTATTTTATTCTCCTTCTTCAAATAATGAAAAACTTTTAAATCAACCAACTACTAAAGTAGTAAGTGATCCCGAAAAAGATTTAAGTAAATCTCTCAACGGTTATAATAATGACAATGTTGTTTGTGCTTTAGAAGGTTCAACAAGATTTTGTGAACAATATGGTAAAGATGAAGAAAAAAATTATGAAGATCACTCCCGTATATATGACGATTTAGAAAATTCATTAACCCATGCAAAATCTGCACATCATTATAAATCTAGCAAAGGTGAAGAAGTTTTTTATGAAGAAGAACTAAATGAAGAATTGGAAACTGACATTGATAAATATGAAAAACAATTAGAATTACTAAATATTGAAAAACAAGTTGAAAATTTCCCTTCAAATAACAAAAAAAAAAAATCTAAGTAGTCTTCGAGGTAGATCAAACAATATATATTTAAATTAACTTCTAATTTTAGTCTTCGTATCCTAATACATCTAGCCGTTTGAAGTGTACAAAAAGTATAATTACAATTCAATCTTGTAAAAGGTATATGCAAAAAAAGAAAGTTCCGACACCGGGAATCGAACCCGGATTCCGACTTGGAGAGAGTCAAGTGATAGCCATTACACTATATCGGACATAATAGTTCAATCCGTACACCATACCTGAAAGCAAAACGACCAGGCCATAGCGGACTATTTATGCGTGTTTGCGCAAATTATATACATGTTCATGAGATTTCAAGTATACCTAAAATTCAAAATATTTTTAAAAATCTGTTTAAAAAGACTAAGAGAGTTTTAAAGTAGTAATATAAATTCTCGTTTGTTGACAGAAACAGATAAAAAATTTTGAAACTTTCTCGGTCTCAGATTGCCGCTCTGTTGAAGTTCAATTTTTTTTGTTAGCTTCTTCAATCTTTTCCACTTTATTGCACATATATGATGCAATAAAGAGTAGAAAAATATCCAAGCTTCGAAAAGAAAGGTTTAGTGTTTAAAACTTTAGAAATATTTGATGATGAATGGCCAAGAGGAGTACTTTTGTCCAACAGACCAAGCCAAAGTCAGTGAAATGAACTGTTGAGATTGACGAACCCCTGGCTAACTAGCGCAAATATAAAGAATCACTTTAATGAATCACTCCTATATATCATTTGGTTGGGGGGTTTTGGAGTAATTTACCCAATATAATGAATCCCGAGCTCAAAGCATGGCAAATTTGTACTTACATTAAGCAAGGCAAATTTGTAATTACATTAAGCAAGGCAAATTTGTAATTACATTAAGCAAGGATATGGCACTAGGAGAAGGTACCTCTCAGTTATGGAGAGGTGCTTTCTAAATTTAAGCATTCTTCGGGGTGTGGTCAAACTTTGGAATGCTTACATGATTTCCAAATGATTTTTTTTTTGCAGCAAGAGGATGTTCCCCTACTTATTTTAAGTCATCATCGCGTCTATTGTGCTATATAAGTATATAAAAGAGAAAGCATCTGATCCTCGATTGCATAGGCGCTTACCACTAGTTTAAAGGTCAGGTATCACGTTTTATAATTGTGCATTTCTTTAAAATTTCTGTATGGAAAGTTAATATGGGAAATTTACGTTATTTTTTTTGTAATGAAGAAATGATAAATGATTGGAGCTTTCTTTTCATATACTACAACGTCTATCTTATCTTCTTTGGTATAAAGTAAAACAATAATAAGGCTTTTTCTTTTTTTTTTTTGATTATCTAGGCATTATGTACTAATTTTGGTAAAATTTTCGATAAACAATTCAACTATTCAGCCGAGTGGGTTGTTCATTGCTAGACAGTTAATCGCAAAGCTGCAAAAGCTGGCGTGATCGTACATGGTCTGCCACTGATGCAAACGTTATTGATCTAGGCTTGAAGATGTTCAGATCTTTGACACTGTAAGTTAGACAAGCCCTTCTGGAGTAAGCTATACAAGCATCCCTGGCAACGATGTAAGTTAGTCAAGCCTTTCTATTAAGCAAGAGTCATGGTGCCCACCATGGTTGAATGCATAACACCGTACAAAAGGGAAAATGAATATGCGAATAACCTCTTATCTCCATTCGCTCAAATACACTACAGAGACATGAATGGTGCTACGGAGACTCCTTCGAACAATCTAGGCAGAGTTTCAATAAAGTGCTGCCACCGAGCTCGACCAAGAAGAATAAACCGAAAACAAGCAAGACTAACGGAGAACTCAAAGATGTACTAGTAAAGGAATTACGGATAAGTTTATGGACACAAGGATATCACAAACGAATATTTCACTAATGAATAAACACCGGGGGTCAATTAGCGAAATGCCATGTCTAATATCTTCCATCAGTACCTCTCCCATTATATCTAATCACATTCACTGGCTGTTTTAGCACTGGTGGAGCATTAAACTCCGTGAAAAGCTCGATTCTTCTTCGCTTTTTTTGCAATCCAAACCGTTTAACTTATACTTTTTTATATTTGTTTTGTAGCCATCCCTTTTGCGCATATAAATGGACTACTGTTACCCTGTTATATCATATGGAATACGTCCGATAGTCGATATTAGCCATTCATATTTGAAGTAAAGCATCGGTACTAATTGTGAATTTTTCACTAACAAAAAAAAAGATTTCAAACGAAAAAACCCGAAGTCGAACAAAGCCTAACAAAAAAAAAAAAAAAGCAAAGCAGTATATAGACCAACCATAAGAAGCCAAAGAATTTACTGTAATTATTAAGAGGATAGTTGCTCAGGTAAGCATGAAGCCAGTCAGACAATTGAATTTTATTAGGAAAGTTAGTGTTGGGGCATCACCATCTAGTTCGGTTCCATCACCAACTCAGGCCAGTGCTAAAGTAGATCATAGTGTTAGTGATCCAAAGAATATTAAGTATGCTGATAATTTGGCAGTTAAACAGAACTTAGAGCTGGCAGAGTTCCAAGCGTTGGGGATACCACCAACTATAATGTCAGTTCAATCACCACCTTCGGTACCGGTTTATATAAGAAGAGGGTCATTATTATCAGTTTATGGAGTTGATTCTGCAAATAACAAAGCACCAATTCAACACCAATTAGAGATTATCAATCCAATTAAGAGGTTTATCTATGGGAATTATGCTTCGAGCTATCTTAAATTGATATCAACTACACCATTTTCGATGTTGGTAAGTTCAATTTCGAGAAATTTTTCAATTTTCACTAAATCTAACAATAAATCGTTTGTATCACTTAATTTGGATGGGATTAATGATTGGGCCATCTTGGATAACCAAGCATTACAAGTGTACACTGGGAACTCATTAAAAGTTGGAATGTATAAATTACCATATTATATACTGAAGGCATTATCTAAAAAATATGAAATTCCATCAAATTCATTAACTGGTTTATATAAATGGAATTCTTTAGGGTATACTTTGTTAAGTGGAAGAGGACAAGTTGGATTAGTTGGAAATGGAACTATTTATAATGTAAATTTACGTCCTGAAGAAGAAATTTTAATTAATCAAAATAATTTATTAGGAATTAGTGTCAATGGACCATACGATTTACAAAATTGTATATTGAAATATTCATTCCCAATTAATAATGAAAACGATTCTGATTTACAAAAACAAATTGAAACAACCTCAATCAAATTAACCAAAAAGGAAGTTGACTCTTCTACCATGGGTACTTATGGATATTATTTCAACTTGATTAAAGATGGATTACAATCTTTAATTACTTCTTTTAAAAAAATTCGTTCAGTTTTATTGACTTATTTTGTTGGAAATCAAGAATTTATTAAAATTGTTGGACCACGTAATTTATTATTACAGTCAAATAGTCCAAATCAGTATAAACTTGATAATAATAATATTTCATATTCAACCATACCTTTGAGTTCAAAATCCGATAAACATGTTCATCAACAGATAGAAAATAAAACTGCTTCGGATTATTTAAATTATGTTAAAGTTGACAAATCAGGAACTAATTTCAAAAGTACCCCAGATTTTAAAGAAACAATTGAAAAAAAAGTTTAAACCTTATAAATAATATATATTCATACTAGTTGATCTAATGTAGTACAATATTTACAAAAGGGCCAAATTTTTATCATAACACACTAATATACATAAGATTTGAATGCAAAAAAAGAAAAAATAAAAAAAAGTAATAAATAAAAAGATAATAAGAGTATTAAGAGTATTAAATATTAAATGAAAGACTATATTACATTAATTGCGTTAAGTTTTATCCTCTTCAGGATTCGGTTGTTTGATGTTTTTCGAAATGGGGAACAAGTTTGAACCATCAGCATTCATCAGATAGCCTGCAACTTGTTTAACACTGGGTAAGGGGAAGTTGGATTGTAAAGAGGGAGTGATTGGAGGTAATTGGATACCCGATTCCTTTTTCTGATGACGATTATCGAAAGAATTGATATTATCGATGTTATCTTTCAAAGAAGGTAACGGGTCCAAGGATTGAATTGGAGGAGGAGGTTGGGCAGTTGTTTCCAATCTTGATAAACGGGCTGCTCTTGAATTGACTGGAGGTTGGTGTTGTAACTCAGCATCGTGAATCTCGACATTTTTCTTTGATAAAGGAGGAGTGTTATTACCTTTAACATTTTTGGAATGGTATAATTGAGATTGGGTTGGGTATTGATAATATTGATTTGGATGAATGACTGGAGTTGGGTCTTCAGTTTTCGAAGAACCAAACATGCGATGACTTTGATCTTTAGTGAAATTATTAACATTATCCGAATCTTTATTTGTTTCAATTGAATTTTTATTAACTCCTTCATCTAATTCTTTAATTTGTTGAGGAGGATGAGAAGGAGGAACTTGATTTTGTATTTTATTCAAAGCACCATGACGAATATAACTACCGGCACTATTACCACCGGAGGTATTTGAGGAAGGTTGAGTGGAAGAGTTTTGATCATTTGAACTAAAGACATTTGAAGATAATCCCGTGTTACTACTCATCAAGTTGGAACCACTACTACCAGAACCAGAACCAGAGCCAGAAATCCCCGATCCTGATAATGAAGCACCACCGCTATCTCCATTTGATCTTGAGCCGGTGGCATTTTCGTCGTTACTATTAGGAGTGCCTTGGGTTGAGTTCAGTTCCAAGATTTCCGTTGATTCGGGAGCAGAAGCCAGTTCAGAATCGTTGTTGGGGGATTTTTTCTGTTCAGCAGCTACTGCAGCAAAACCTGATTTTTCATTAGATAATTCGTTAGCAGAGGAGTCATTGGAGTCCCGATCGTTTGAGATTTTATCCAAGTCATCTGGCGAGGAGTTTGATTCGTCGGTGATGGTGGCGCTGGAGCTGCCTCCTCCATTCGGGGTGTTATTGTTGGAGGTATTAGTATTTAAAGGGACTGGATCTGCTGGTTTGAGAGCGTGTTGAAAGATGCGATTATTACGATTATTGATGGATAATTGGTTTGAGTTATTTGACTGATTCATTCTTCTTTTCAAAACCTTCAATCTTTCATAAGGTAAAAAGGAGGGAGTTGCTGAGGAAGGAGGTAACGATTGGTGATGTTTTGGAGGGGGTTGGAAGTGATTTGGATTGGTAATGATATCATCTTTTGCATAAAGATGATTATTAAATTGTTTATTTGGAGAACAAGTTAAATCTGCTGAATAACGACGATTTTTATTGATTGAACCTCCGTTAATCCCCAAGATTGATAAGTTTGGATTGGATAAGTTATTAAACTGAGAATGGTGAGTTGATGAATTATTTTTAGGAGGACAGGTTAAAGAAAGAATATCTGAGCTACCGGGATCGGACAGTTTTCTATTATGATGATTAAGCATGGGAGAAGTTGAGTTTGAATTATAATGGGGGGTTGTTTTGGGAGCAGAATTATAGGAATGGATATTTGAAGAATACTTCAGAATAACCTTATTTAAAGCAACAAACAAGTCTGACCATTTGAATACTTTCAAATCTTTTTCGATATTTCTAGGTCTGGGATCCTCCATACTCATAAGTAGATTGAAAAACCTTTGCAGACTCGCATTTGTTCTTGAGATGGTGTATGGTTTCAAGCTTTGCAAATTACGACGAATCCGGTTCTTCTCTTCAATAGAAAAACTTTCTTGCACCAAGTATTCCAAAATCAAGATGATGTCGACACTAGTCACTATATGAATATCTTTTTCTTTCCAATAGATGCACGAGATGATGGGAATCTCTGGCGTATAGTTCTTCTTTGCGATTGGATTGAACTCCACCCAGAAATCCGTTGGCGAAATCCGATTAAAGTTAAACTGAACCAATCTTCGTTCATTCATCACTTCATCCTGGCTCCAATCAAGAGTGATGGAGTTGACGTCTTTTTCAAAAAGTAACTTAACTGGAGTATTAATCAAGTTTAGATTCTGTCTTATATAATCCGGATCCAAAGAGGATGTTCTGATTAAGTTCGAATCCCCAACATTCCCCTTTGTCCAAGGTATACTACTTTTATCGTTACTAGTCATGATACTTGATCGACTAGTGATGTATTAGACTGAAAGTATTCCACTTTAAGACAATAACATTTGCTGATCCTTTCGATGAAGAGAAAAAGTACAGAAAAAGGATTAGCAGCAATAAACTGAATATATATTGTGGATAATTAATAAGGTTGTGGAACAGTTAATTGGTGGCTGATTTTCTTTTTTTTTTTTTCGCTTTGATTTTTAATTCGTTCATAGCAAAAGAGCAATTCAACGTATCTCAGACACAAACAAACAAAGGTTTAACAAAGTAAAACAAGGTAAACAAGGTCAGAAAACAGTCACACAATTCTTGCGCAGGGTGAATCACTGTCGGTGCAGCCCCGGGCGAGCGAGCTGGCCAATGGCGTTGCTCCCAGGGGTTTGAGACAATGGCCGTGGTGGTGGTGGCAGCGAGGGGCTAGAACCGATGGCGAATTAGGGTAAATGTGCGGTTACGTAAGGCTGTCTGGACACACGCAGACACTTTGACGGTGTCGTCGCTGTCGTTCTGCCGTTGTGCCGTTTAGTTTGGGTTCTGGCACGGATGGAGTTACAGTTACTAAATGAGGTGATGTCTCTGAACTTTGGTATTTTTTGAAGATCACCTTGTTTTACTTATTTTTTACCTTTTATTTCTGTTTTACTTATTTTTTACCTTTTATTTCTGTTTTACTTATTTTTTACCTTTTATTTCTGTCTTACTTATTGGCCAGGAATATTTTTTGGCCTGCACTACTTACTTATTGGCCAGGAATATTTTTTGGCCTGCACTCCTTATTGGCCAGGAATATTTTTTGGCCAGTGTTGCCTTTTATTTTCATGGGTAACTTTTATTTTCAATTGTTTCACTTTTAATTCTGATTGTTTCACTTTTAATTTTGATTGTTTCCCAGTTATTTTTTCCCTTGTTTTCGTTTATATTTTTTCATTTATCGATTATGTAAGCTATTTTCTGCCGTCTGACATTTGTTGTTGTCTCAGATTGCTCTTGGCTCCTTGCTTGAGCCCCACGACTTCCGAGGGCGGGTGCCGACTTGTGGTGAGTGACAAAGGGGGTCGTGTCGCGGCCGGAGCCTACTGGCGGTGAAGGTTGTATTTTGCAACCAGGGATGGTTTAATAGGTGAGTATATCGACGATGATGTTGATTAGACTCACCAAGACCTCGATGCCCACCAACACAACCACAATGAACTCCAAACTCTCTTCGTGCGAGTGGCCCAACTGCTCTTTCAACATTTGCAAGAGGTCGCTGATCACCTCTAATCGCTGGTTCAAGAGCTCAACCCGCTGGTTGATCTCCAAGTATCCCCTGGTTGCTTGGTAGATGGGTTCCAAATGCGGCTCGGCCCACATTAGCTCCGGGGAGTCCAACACCGACCCATGGAGGTTGATGTTGATTCGCAAGATAAATAACTCTCCGATCGATTTCATAATCTCGTCCCGCGTCATCTCGACTTTCCCAGTCATGGCTATTTGCTGCGGGATGTCCTGGGTGTCTTCGATGGTGTTATCAACCAATTCTTCAAATAAGGAGATCTTGACCGATTGCGCCAAAGCATGGCTTATCGATAATTTCAACATGTAATTCGAATCATCTCTCAAAGTAATGAAATCATTATATATTCGGGGCTGGTACAGCTGGGTGATGTAGTAATTGAACTCTTCGATTTGTATATCTTCATTCAGTAATTTTTCACTTTCGAACTTGTCCAAACTGTCTAGGAAAAATTGCTCTTCCTTTAATGAATACCCCCACATGATTATCACCCCGTACTCAAAAATAAATATATCGTTTTGCTTGCCAATATCAATCTCTCCTCCTTCATCCGCTAATCGAATTAACTTCCGTTCGTTATTCTCTTCTTCAACGTCTTCCTCGTTTCTCCAGTCCTTGTACCGGAATGGCGTATATAAACATTCATCAAATAACTTCGGACTCGTATTATGTATTCTTTTCCTCTCCTTTAGCCATCTTAACAATTCCTTCATCTTATACGACCCACACGTACAGTATGCACTTACCCTGGGTAATAAATCTCGATGCAGCTTACTCAATATCTCGGCATCTTTCCGTGCCGGCTTATCGGTGATTCGCTTCACTTGGGAGTAAACCCCCAGTCGTTTACTTCTTCTTTTCCTCACCTCCTCCTCCTCTTCCTCTTCTTCATCCTCCTCCTCTTCTTCGTCCTCAATCCCAATTGGATCCTCCGGTAGCAACTTCAACTTACTCGTAGTACGACTCGTCCGCTGCAATCCTATCTGCGGAGATTGTGATATCTTGGAACTGGCCCGATTGGCTTGATTCACCACCACCTCTTTGCTCTTGGTCTCTGGGAGTTTTATCGGATTCTCAGGGGTCTCCCCCTGGTACCCTAACCGCTTCTTCCTCCCACTGCTTCCTGTCGCCAACAACGGCGTCCTGTCCGATTGATCTGACATCTGTCTCTAATTGATTGTCTGGTTGGTCAATTAAAAGAGTTCTTCTTTTATCTATTCGATATTTTTGATGGTGTACTTTTTTTTTGTAGTGCACTTAAATTTTTGTAGTGCGCCAATCTATTTTGATGAGATGCCCCGATGCCCTTTTAAAAAAATTAATTCTCTATTCCATCACCATCAACCTTGATCTACATCTTTACCATGTCGATGTCTCTGAAGCATAGCAAGGTCAAGAAGACCCAGTCCACGAGAAGACATGCGTTTGCGTCTTTCCGTGAACGAGTGGACTCAATGAAAATTGAGCCCAGTCTCAACTTGACTAAAAGAGTCCATGATTTTGTCGAAGTATCCCATTTCCTTACTACTTTAAACCATTGGAAAGAAGTTAATGTTAGTGGTGATTTCACCGATTTCTTAGACGAAATCGAATCCTTGGTCCAAACTTTGCCTCAGCTCTTATACTATCAAAATAAAGTATTTCAATCTTTGGTGAAACATATAAAAATTAATGATGCAAATTCAATTCAACCTTTATTAGAATTATTATCCCAGTTCATTCATGACTTGGGCCCGGATTTTCTACCCCATTATGAAGAATATTTGAAACTAGTCACCGATTTAGCTTGCTCAGTTAACCCAAATGATTTACAAAATAATAAAAACTCCTCAAATATCTTGGAATGGTGCTTTAACTGTTTGGCATTCTCTTTCAAATACTTATCGAGAAGTTTAGTTAATGATTTGATTCCAACTTTTGAAAACCTTTTACCAACCTTATCTTTAACTAAAAAAACTTACATCTCAAGGTTCTCAGCTGAAGCTTTATCTTTCTTGATAAGAAAATCTAAATCCGATTCCTTAGATTCAATGATAACTTATTCTTTCAATAATCAGATTGATCTCATCATTAATAATCAAAGCTATCGTGAATCCTTGGTCACTTTATACGCAGAATCAATGATGAGCACTTCCGGTAATTTCCATTCAAAATCATCTCTTATTCTATCTAAATTAGTTGATCATTCATTATTATTAAATGATTCAAAGGATTCATTATCAAAGGGCTCAATCATCTCAATAATTTGTGATATCATCTTAAACTTATTCAATCACGGTAATCCTGACGCTTGTGATAAATTCTATAACTTAATCATAAATTATCTTAATGAGCTTCTTGATAAAGATTTAAACTTACAATTATTGCTTTCAGTTTCCCAAATCTTATCAACTCTTTCATTTGCTGAGTCGGGTAAAAAAATTAAATCATGGAATCCAATCATTTCCGTATTGATTAAACTAATCAATAAAATTCAAAATTCATCCCATGAAAGTAATTCAAGCTTGTTGAACTCCTTGGTTTATAATTTCATCATCTTATTCCGTAATGGTAATAATCAAGAAATTACTAGATTTCATAAAACTTTATTCGATTCAATTATTTCTTTGAATAATGCTAGTCATTTCCTCGTCTTTGCTGATTCAAACTTATCCATATCCGAATCAAAATTATTAAGCTTTGGTATTGCAAATCACATTCAAAACTTCATTAATAAATTGTCTTCCAAAAATTTCCAGTCATTCGACAATTTGAAAAAATTGGCATTTTTCTTAAATAGGTTATCTGCAAAAGAGTCAACCTTACTTAATTCCATTATAATCCCTCATGAAGTCCAAGATGTTATAATATCCGAGTTGGAATCATTTTCAAAAATTGCCAGTCATGATGACCTCCTAGAAATTTATTGGAGAATTCTGGTTTTGAAATATAATACTAAATTCGTTAATTTACCAACTCAATATTTTATTAAATTGATCAAACAATTATTCAATGAATCATTTAAATTAGATTCTAAACTTTCTCATGATTTAATCGGTATTACCATTGATTTACTAACCATGTCATTATCAATAAATTCAAATCCAAAACTTTCAAATGAAATCTTCGATATTGTTTTACTCAGTAATAATTTCTCCCGTTTTAAAGAATCTCCAATATTAATGAATTCTTTAAAAAACTTTATATCCACTTCTCATGCTTCCTTAGGTGATAAATTAAGTTTAATTGCAAATGCTACCATTATCTCCGTTTCCGATAACCTTTCTTCTCCTAACCCTAAAGCTCGTTTAAATTCAATTGAATTAATGATAAAATTAACTAGTACCGTTCATAGTTCTGATGAAATCTCTCCTATTTTACAGCAAATCCAAATCATAGAACAAATTCCTTTGACTATTTCCAATTCAAGAGATTTGGAACTAAGAATTAGAAATTTAGCTAATACTTTTAAAAGTTTAGAATCTCCTCTGGATATTGAAAAAAAATCAATCTCAAATTACATGATTGGTCTTTTAACCAATAAGTTTAAACCTTGTTGGGATGGGGTCTATAAATCACTTCCATTCATTTCAGAATCATGTTCCCAATATCTTTGGAGCTTGTTTTCATATCTTCTCAAGTTTGACTTTAATTCTCAAGATTCAACCTATTGCGATTTAACTTCAGTCTTTGATGATAATGATGAAGGCTCATTAGCAGATTGGCAACCTAACAATTATAGAATTCACGATAACTTCAAACATATAAATGATGAATTTCTTTCAAAATATCAGAATGCTACAGTCTCGATTATGGACTTCGCTCATGAATTAAGAGGCGATTCCCTTTACGAATACATGTTACGTTCAAGAGTTATCCAATCATTGTCTGTGGTTCCATCAATTGCAGAATCCAGATCTGAAGAATTGGTTCCTTTGGTGTTGAAGAATAATGACGAAAATGATAATGACGAAAACTCAAACTCCCCACATTGGTCGGTAAAAGATCGTACTTCATTAATTTCTGTCTTTAGTAAGTTCAAGAATTTGAATAAGATCCATGATAGAGATGCTTTCAAAGCTCACATCATGGACATGCTTAGTCATAGACAAAGTCAAATGCAAGAAGTTGCTTTGGATGTGCTTATGAACTGGAAAATTCCGGGTGTCAATAAGTATAAAGATAATTTAAAAAATTTGTTAGATGACACCATATTCAGAGATGAAGTTACAAAGTTGGTTGTTAAGGGGTCCGACTCAACCATTGAAGATCAAGATTATCCAACAGTTGTCCCAGTTATATTAAGACTTTTATTCGGTAGAGCTCAGGGTGCATCAAAAACAACTAGTAAGATTGGTAAAAAATTTGCCGTTTTTTCTGTTCTACCAAATTTCCCTGATCAATATATTAAGGAATTCTTAGAAATTGGGTCAAGTAGAACCAGTTACGAGGCCTACTTCAGTGGAGATTTGGATTTAGACTCTGTTGATTCTTTCGAAATAAGAAGAATCTTGGGTTATGTCCATCTTTTGGAAGAAGCTTACGGTTCTTTAGGTTATAAATATAAAGAAGTTTTGGAATCAACGATTCAGCCTTTGCTTTTTTCATTAATCGTGGCCCAAGACAAGATTGATAAATTAAAGGGTGAGGAAGATATTATATTTGTCAAGAGTATTCGTTCTATAAGACAGAATGGTCTGAAGTGCTTTGAAACCTTATTCAAATTATTAGGACCAAAATTTGAATGGGATCAATATGTTGGGTTGATTTATAACTCAATCATCAAAGCAAGGTTAGAAAAGTTTTCTGATGAAAATATCCAACAACCATCTTCTGTATTGAAAATAATACTTGGTTGGATAGAATCGGATAACGTTAATGAATTCTTATACATAGATGATTTCGCTCCAGTTAAAGCTGTGGTTTCTTTGTTATTCAATCAGCATTTGAAAGAATCAGTACTTTCGGTGGTCTTAGAATTTTGTATCAAGGCATTAACAAGAAATAAAATTGATGATGATAGATACTTTACTCTTGCTGCCATCTTGGTTGATTCATTGCTTCAAAATCTACCAAGTGTTATTGAAAAAACAACTGATCGTGATACTAATTCGAAAGCTATTCATATTCTTCTTTTGATTATTGAAGGTAATTACATCGATGAAGATTCTACAAGATCCTCCTTATTGAATTCTTTAACTTCAGCGTTGGATAAACCTCAAAGTCAAGTTATTTCAAAAGATAAAACTAACATTCTTCTTTCCTTATCTGCTTTGATCAATGAATTTGACTGTTCATTCGATGAATTGTCAGGTCTCTATAAAAGTGTATCAAAGGCTTTCAGAGTTTATAGTGACCGCTCAATCCGTCAAACATTAGTCACTGTGGTTCAAAGTATTGGTAACAAATTTGTTGATTATCAAGTTGTGGGTGAATTACTTGATGATTTGAATGCAAATTCTCCAAAGCGTATTGAAGAACCAGATTTCGAAAGACGTTCAAGCGCATTTAAAACTATCAATGAAGATTTATACAAGACTTTCTCCACTGACCAATGGTTTCCTATAATTAATTGTGCTTTATTTTTCATCAATGACGAGCTTGAATTGGCCATAAGAACAAATGCAGCATTTACTTTGAAACGTTTTGTTGATTGTTTTTCAGAAAAAGAATCTATTGAAGCAGCAAGTAAATTCATACATTCTTTCAAAGACACAGTTTTGCCCCATTTACGTATCGGTATTAGACATCACAACCAAGATGTCCAATCTGAGTACATTGGATTGCTTTCCCATATTGTTGAACATAACAAATATTTGCCGGAGTTTGAAAATATGAAGGTATTATTCGGTGAGGATGATGAATCAAATTTCTTTGAAAATATCACACACATCCAATTGTTTTCCCGTCAAAAGGCTATTAGGGATTTAGCAGGATTGAGAAATGAATTATCTGGTAGTAACATTTCACACTATTTATTACCGATTGTCGAAAGTTATGCTGTTGCTAAGGAGGAAAAGTTTAGAAATATTTCTAATGAAGCTGTTGTCACTATTGGCTTATTGTGTACTTGTGTTACATGGACTCAATACAAAGCCTTGTACAGAAGATATCTTGCAGCATTAAAAAGTTCCAAACCTGAAGAACTAAAAGTCAGAGTAAATATCATTGTTTCGGTATCTAAATCCTTATTAGATTCAACTAATTCCAGAAAAGAGGGTAAGAATGACGATATTTTGAAAGATTTTCCAACAAATCAATTAGAAGTTGATACATATATCACTAAAGAGTTATTCCCATCTATATTAAAAGTTTTGAATGTGCGTGATGATCAGACCATTGTTGCTCGTGCTCCATTGGCAGAGGCTTTAACTTGCCTTATTATGTGTATTACAGAAGACCTTATAGAAACTGAATTACCTGGTACTTTGACTAGTACTTGTCAGGTCATGCGTTCTCGTTCTGAAGAGTTAAGGGATGCTGTTAGAAAGAGTTTAAGTAAAATAGTGACAATTCTTGGTGCTAAATACTTCAAATTTATTTTACAAGAATTAAAAACAGCATTATCAAGAGGTTCCCAAATTCATGTTTTGAGTTTCACAGTTCATCATATGTTGGTACTGATATCACCAATTTTAGAACATGGTGACTTAAATGACTCAGCTGGGCTTCTTGTTGATATAATCATGGAGGATACTTTTGGTGCTGCTGGTCAAGAGAAAGATGCTGAAGGTTATACCAGTAAAATGAAAGAAGTTAAGCATAAAAAGAGTTTTGATTCTGCTGAGATCTTAGCTTCTAATATAAGTTTAGAGAACTTCAGTTTCCTCGTTCATCCTTTGAAACTTCTTTTGAGTGAAAATGTTTCTTATAAGACTGAAAATAAACTAGATGAATTATTAAAAAGATATGCATTGGGATTAAACCATAACTCTTCTTCGAGTACTAAAGAAATATTAGTTGTTTGCTTTGAACTTTACAAGCAATCTGCAAAAGAATCTGAAGATAGACCATTCAAAGGCAAGAAAATTAGTGAATCCGAGGAACACTTTTTGGTTCAACTCAATGCTAGGCCATTAAAAATGCAAACCAAGAATAATCAATATATCTGTACTTTACAAAAGTTCTCTTTAGAATTATTGAGGGTTTCTATCACGAGAAATGATGCTTTACTTACAGTTTCTAACCTTGAAGGATTCATACCTATTCTTCAAGAAAGTTTGAACTCTGACAATGAAGGTGTTTGTATAAGTTCATTGAAGGTTTTAAATATCATTGTTAGGCTTTCCTTCTCCGAAGATATTGATGAAATTTTCAAGTCTTGTGCTGCTAAGTCTTTGGATATCGTAAAGGATAGTCCATCCACAAATTCAGAAATTTGTCAAAGTAGTTTGAAATTTTTAGCCACAATCATCAGACATAAGCCAAATGTTGAATTAAGTGATGCTGCAATAAGTTATGTATTGGAACGAGTACTTCCTGACTTAGAAGAACCAAATAAACAAGGTCTTGCGTTTAACTTTTTAAAGGCTGTTGTTTCTCAGCATATTATGATACCTGAAGTATACGATGTTATGGATAAAGTTGCCAAAATTATGGTGGTCAATCATTCTAAAGAAATCAGGGACATGTCTAGAAGTGTCTATTTCCAGTTTTTAATGGAATACGATCAAGGAAGAGGTAAATTGGAAAAACAATTCAAATTCCTTGTCAATAACTTAGGGTATGTAACTCAAGCTGGTAGACAAAGTGTTATGGAGTTGATACATTCAGTCGTTTTAAAATCTGGAACAGAATTCCTCAAAAAATTGGCATCTAGTTTCTTCGTTGCTCTAGCAAATATTGTTGTCAGTGATGATGTTGCTAAGTGTCGTGAATTGGCCTCTACCTTAATTTCAAATATCTTTAAAAAATTGGGTACCTCCAATTTAAGTAATATTGAAGCTTACGTAAATGCATGGCTCACCCAATCCTCAAATGATTTATTGAAGAGATGTGGTTTGAACATCTATAAGATCTATATTGGTGAATTCGGCGTTGGATCAAACAAACGCCTTGATGATGTTGCAAAAGAGACCATTGAAATTACTTTGAAGAAATCTAGAAATGCAAATGAGGATTCTTCTGATACATTGTGGGAAGATGTTTATATAAATTTGAGTGCATTCAATTCGATTTGTTCCAAGTTAAGAGAGGAGGTTTTCAAGGAAAAGTATGGTGATATCTGGGTAAGTGTAATCGAAGTTTTGTTATACCCTCATTCATGGGTCAGATTGATATCTTGTCGTTTAGTTGGGCTTCTCTTGTCTAACTTGGATAATTTAGAATTCGAAATAAGCGATTATCAAATTCAGACCATAGCTTACAGACTTTTGCACCAATTGGGAGCACCTTCAGTTTCAAAAGAATTAGGAACTCAGATTGTGAAAAACTTGGTTCTTATTGTGATGAGATGGGAATCAAACAAGACATTATTTATTCACAACCAAGACAAAGTAGCTGATACAGATGAAGAACAAACCAGATTCAAATATGCTTCTGAATATATGGTTTCCCGTGTATGTGCTATTATGAGACAAGAAAGAAACTTCAAAGATGCATATATCTCTAAAGTTTCTGCAATTCAATTTTCAGCAATGCTAGTCCAAATTATGGACGAAAATAAGATAGCAGAAGCTGCTGAGAAAATTTTGCTTGGTTTATATAACTTTACTGAATTAGACCCAAGTAGAAGTGATGAAGATGCTAAATTAGTTGAATTAACTACTGAATGTATGCAAATCATTGAAAATAAAATGGGTGTATCTGACTACACCGCCATTTATTCGAAAGTTAAACTGCTTGTTAACTCTAGAAGACAAGAGAGAAAAACAAAAAGAGCACAAATGGCTCTTAATGCTCCTGATGTTGCAGCCAAAAAGAAGATGAAGAAACATGAAAGATTTAGAGAAAAAAGAAAGCATGTTAAGGACGAGAATGGCTACTACCGTGCTAAGAAGAAGAGAACAATTTAATCATTTTTTGTATATAGATTAAAAGTGTATTTTGAATATTACATGTGTATATTATAATTTGATATTTTTACAAAGAACGTTTAAAAGGCAAACTCAATTAGTAGAATTTTCAGGATCGGCTTCTTTAGCCTCTCCATTAACAGGTTGATCTGACAATGAAGACTCGTGACTGGTCTGTGTATGGTGTTCATTTGCTGAATCAGTTGGTCTATTCAAACCATTTTGTGCCGGTGTCTCGGGAACATCTGAGGCTTCTCTTTGTGCCATAGAAGAATCAACTGCGTTTTCATTAGAACCCTGGTTTTGATCATCTTCGACTTTGACTTCTGAATCCAATGGGGCTTCAGTATCGGCAGTTTCCACTTCGAGTTCTGCTTCTGCTTCTGGCTCTGCTTCTTGCTCTGCTTCTTGCTCTGCTTCTGCTTCTGCTTCTGCTTCGTCTTCTGCTTCTGCATCTGCTTCTTCTGCATCAACATCCATTTCTGCTTCCGCGTCTGCTTCTCCGTTAATTGAAGGTTCTATATCTTCATCATCTTGTTCATCATTCTCCTCAGGTTTAACTGTAGTTTCCCTACTAGGGTCTGCTTCTGAATCATCTATTGGAGCTTCTGAATCAGTTTTTTGCTTTTTGTTCGCTTTTGATTCATCCAGTCTTATTTCTTCATCCTCTTCATCCTTCTTCTTTTGGTTGTATACCACCATTTCCCTCTGGTATCTAGCTCTGTCTTCTTCGTACAATCTATAGAACGGTTGACGTTTTTCAAGATCTAAATTTCTCCAAGCTTCAGTCATTGTTTTAGATAAGTCAGTAACGACACCACCACTTGATTCAATTTCATGTTTGACGCGTTCCTTTTCCAGCTCACAAAATATTAAATAGGCATTAGTGGGTCTTTTTGGTAAATCAGGATCTCTTAACTTAGCTTTAGCGGCTGCAGAAGTAGCCGGACCTCCTCTGCGTTTTCCTTTCTTGGATAAGGAAGTACGAGAAAGATCAGCATTCGAATCAGTCAAAGAGTCATCCAAAACAGTTGGAGATGGAGGAGGTGACATTTCCTCTAGTTCGGCTATACCATCTGGTACCATTATAGCTCGATCCTCGAGTCTTTCGAGTAGTATCATATATTCAAGACGTAACCTTCGAATCCCCATTCTAGTTCTTGAAAGTGCTATAGTAGCAATCTCATTATTTTCCTCGATATCCGTTATTCTTTTTTTCAATTCTTTACATTTTTGTTTCAATTTTTGTTCTATTAATGAAATGTTAGAATTCATTCAATATATAAGAGAAATATAGAACATACCTTCACTTTCTGGAGCTTCGTTCTTCGACATCGCTGTCTTAATTGCTTGAGACTTCATAGTAATCGCGATTACTGATGAATATCAATCAATTAATTGGCTTTTCCAAAACAACCTTGTCTTCCTTGAGTACTTCAAGCAAGAAGACTGAATTTTCCTGGATTTCTCAACTGGCGATAAAAAATTCCTTGGTTCTTTACACGACCTTTCTTTTTTTTTTTTGTCTTTGTTAGGCAGTTCTATTAGTATATCTGAATACAAAAGGTTCTTTTGTTCACCCTGTAAGCTTACTCATTATCTCAGAGTAAGTGGTTGGACTTTGATTTTAGGTGTTGTTGTGGTGGGTGAATTTTTAGGGAGTGAAAATAGAGAGTTTTTTTGAAAAAATCATCGAATTTAAATTTTGCAGCAACGACATCAACAAGTGTCAAGAAGTCGATTAGAGCATGACTGACTCAAATAAGAATAAGCGTTTTGAAGTTATAATCAAGGAACAATACTACAACACAATAAGTAAGCAAACATAAGATAATTGAAAATTATATAGCAAAACAAAAGTAGTTAACTAACGAAAATAAATGAGTGAAGAAGAAAACCGCCAACCTATTCAACCAGCATGCATACCAAGCGTGAAACCTATTAGTCATGAAAAAGGGTAAAAGAAAAAAAGAATTATATAAAAGAGTATTTAAATTTGAGGAATGAAATAAAAATCATTAAGCAATGCTATTGGTGGTGGATAATACTTCATAGTCAGAGTCAATTTCACAATCAGACTCACTGATCATATCGTACTCATCCATATCCTTGTCATTTTCAGCATCGTTTTTTGCATCTTCTGCTTCTGCAATGGTTGAATTAGCATCCAAGTATTGAGATCCTTGCTCAATAATAGATTCCTTTGGCAAAGTTGGTAATACCATCGAGTGAACCGACAGAGAAAACGATTGCAGTCTGGATTGATCAGCTGAAGCTGGGGAAGAAGCGAGTTCATGATCTTCAGTCACAGATGAGGCATTATCATCGTTCAATTCTTCTTCGGGAGTACTTTCAATAGTAGCTTTTTCTGGTAATTCAACCGGGGTAACGGTATTGAAATTAAAGGAGCCAGAAAGTTGTTTCATACTCAATTCAGTAAAAGCAGTGAAAGAATCATTCTTCATTACTAATTTGAATGGATATTTAAGATGGGCTCCGTTAACAGCGATGTTAAATTTAGCACTTTTACCCGATAAAATACCATGTTTTTTATGAACCAAAACACTTGATACATTTGTTTCGAAACAATTATAGACTTCGAATTTCAAATCCGAGCAATCAATTGGTTTTGCTGATTTATTAGTAATGATGATTTGAGCCATTTGGGAAGATTTAGGAACAAAAACAACGTTAACTTGATCTTTTCTATCAAAGACGATATTATTTGAAGTTTCAATTGATTTTGTATCAAATTCTGGCACTGCTTTGGTACTAACAACAAGACTGGATTCTTCGCTTTCATTATACTGCCCTTCCATTATCAAACTCGAATCATAGGTTGAGATTCTTAATTTTTTACCTGATAATTCGTGGAATTTATCAGACAATTTACCCAAGTTATAAAATCTGTGTTGACCTGGAGCAATACTATTAGCAGCTCTAACAACGACAGTTTCACTTTCATCATCATTGAAAAAGGTAAAAGTCAAGTCACCGCCATTAATGACAAAACGAGAGTTGTTTTGCAACATGATTGAAATGACTCTACAGTGGTCGCTATATTTTTTTGTCTTGACCACAACATGTTCATTAGTAGCTTCAAGGTTCAAGTCAGAAGATTGATTTGAATGGGTCACTTCTTTTTCTTCAGTTTGAGTTTGTTTTTGTTGCTGAGGAGAATAAGATTGAGTAGCTTGATTATTTTTAAACTGTTCAACCAAGCTTTGTAACATTGCAAATTTAGTATCATCATCTTCATTGCCTGAACTGATAGAGTCGGCGAGTTTTTTGAATCGAATTGCATTTTCATAAACTGCGTGTTCCATAGAGCCAACTTCACGGAAGTTAGTGGCGAACCTACCAAAAGCAACCGACTCTGGAGTGGAAACTTTTGCTAGAGGATGGGCCGGTAAATGGCCACCAACGGGATTTTTCAAATTTGCTTCACAGGAAGAGCAAAGGTCGAAATCCGGACACACCAAGCATTTATATCTAACCCCATGGATTGGTTTAAATTCATGGGAAGAGCAGCCGTCACAAGCCACATTTGTGTGAACAACCAAATCATTGGTCTGATCATTGGTTTGATTATGGGTTTGATTATGGGTTTGATTATTGGTTTGATCAGCCGGTTGGTGTTGATCAGACTTATTTTCAGACTCACCAAGATCAAATGAGAAGTCCTTCATGAACTCTTTGAAATGATCAAAGCAAGCTTCAACCAAAGCATCACCCAATTTAGCAAAATCGATTTTTTTAAGAGGAGATTCATCCGAAGTCTTTTTTGCAGCATTGGCAATGGCAGTTTTATCGGAAATACGTAACTTGACGTGGTTTTTAACCTTCAAGCTTCTCAATAAGCATTTAAAGTCATCTGGTGATTCCAAACCAATGTATTTCTTATTCTTTTTTGATTTTCTAGCCAAACTAATTAATTCGTAAGGTGGAGATAAAGGTATTCCGTATTTCGACAAGATTTTAATCAAAGATTCTTTCGAATTGAGTTTATTCAAGACTGACCGATCAATACTAATGGTCTTAGTAAGAATATCTCTTTCTGATTTCTTATCAAAGGGTAATGAACCGTTTACTGCTGCTGCAGCGGCAGCAACGGTAGATACATTATCACAATCGAGGTCAAGTTTGCTAAGCAGCACTTTCAAAGTTACCATGCTTTCACTGGAGGCTCCTGAATCCATGGCTGAAGTCAATGATCAAGAAGAAGAAGTACCAGACTAAGATGAAATACAAGATGGCAATCGAAAAAGGGATATAATGTGATTGCCCCCTTTATAAAGAACCCTAGGGGCAAACTGCACTAGACGTTTTGCAGTTTATTTGATTTTGCCAGTGATTTTTTTTTTTTTTTTCTCTTTTCTGTGGAGAGATAACGATGGAATTTTTCATTTAGAAACTTTAATCAGGTCCAGAGAGATGACACGGTATGAGTATCCTGCGGTGGTGGTGTTTGACTTGGACTACACGTTGTGGCCATGCTGGTGTGATACGCACCTTTCGCCGCCGATCAAGCCGGTTTCCAAGACCCGAGTAGTTGATCATTACGGGATGGAATTGTCAATGTATAAGGATGTTGAATCGATAATGGTTGAATTAGAAGCCAATGGGGTGGAGATTGTGGGAGCCAGCCGTACGGCCACTCCCCGGATAGCACAGGAGCTATTGAGCCGGTTGCATATCAACGGGAAACCGTCGATGAAGTATTTTGCCAATCTTCAATGGGGGCAAGGAACTAAAACCAGACATATTCTGAGAGCAGCCAAGGAGTTGGGCATGACAAAAGAGTTGGAGGCAGGGATGTTTATCTTGTTTGATGACGAATGGAGAAACCGAGACGTTGAATCCATAAACTGTCATTTTGGACATATAGTCGATGAACGGAAAGGATTAACTCGGGAAATCTTTGAAAAAAAATTAATTGAATGGACCAAACTACAGAATGAACAGCATTAAATATAATAATAATATTAGAATAAATACATACAAGATAAATAGTTAATTACTTGAGTAATTTTTGTATAGAGTAAATTAGGGTGAGGACAAATTGAGAATAGTTAAGATTTAGTACAAGGGCAAGATAATTAACCACTCTTTTCCTGAATAGACTTAACGTAGGAAATAAGGCCATCACGAGTAGCATCCGGAGGAGGACTGATTTCTTTCTTGAATAAGTTAGTAATTGCTAAAAGGTATCGATAAAGTAATATACATACTTGGCTCAACCAATGTTTCAAGTTATCTTGAGACCATTCATTGATATCCACAAGACTGCTGTCACCCACCACGGTCTGAGAAAGAGCCTCTTCTTCTTTCTCGGCTTGTTGCACGTCGGATCTGCTGAGTTCTATTGGTTCGTTATCATCGGATGCTTCTTCCTGGGTGTTGGTGAGATAGTTATAAATTGACGTTTTCAAATGGGGGAAAGTCGATATCAAAAGATACCCGGCCCCAAGCACCACGGCCCCGGTCCCGGCAGCCACCTTAAGGTTACGTCCACGAGCAGACTTGTTCAATTGAAGCGCCATCGTTAAAGAAAGAAGTAATAGACAATTAAATCAGTCAACTTTTGCTCATTAAGAGTCGAGTCAGAAAAAAGTGCACGATCGCACGTGAATTTCCTTATCGTCCCTCGGAACTGATAAACTACATCACTTTCTTAACTTTGCAATAGTTAATCTTTGCAATAGTTAATCTTTGCAATAGTTAATCTTTGCAATAGTTAATCTTTGCAATAGTTAATCTTTACAATAGTTAATCTTTGCAATAGTTAATCTTTACAATAGTTAATCTTT